GAATTTCCGCCCACCCCAGCAGCAATGCAGCAAGCAAGAGAAGGCTGCTGGTTTCCACCATCGCCACCCTTTCCCCGCAGATACGAGCGGTAAGACGCTTCCCGTGGCAGCGTTATCGCGCATGTGCTTCCCCCGCCACCCCTATCTCCCACACACACGCTCCCTCCCCCTAAAGCCCCACGGCTGTTTTAAATACCACCAAAAGAGCAATACCAAAACCAATCTTGCATAAGAGCTGCTGCACCTGACAGATATCTGCTCTTCTCTCTGCACATTTAACAGGCCAGAGGACTTTCTCCAGCCACCACAGGAGATCCCTTCCCTTTGCACACCCCCCCCCCCCCACCACTCTCGCTAGCCTCACAGCCCGCGCGGAAAGGCTGTTTTCCCAGGTCATATCCCACCTCAGCCTATTAGCTTGAAAACAGCAGCAAAGCTTGGCTGGTGAACTTCTTAAGACGCAGCAGCTTCACCCTGGCAAACTCTCCAGATCACAGGAGAAGGTTTGGGGCTTGCAGAGAGCCCCCCCGAGCTTCCCCAACCTCCTCTTGGGCTACGGCCAAGTCCCCTGCTTTGGGATGTGATGTGAACTATCTGGTAATGCAATTTCTTGAAGGATGAGCAAGAAATAACTCCAGAAAGCTGCTACCCACCAGCACACCTGACCCTGGGCAGGACTCTCACAATTCAGCCAGCTGGTTGCTTAAAATGAAGAAGTTTGGACCACCTGAGCGCAGCCTTTGAGCTGCCCCCTCCCAGCCAGCGAGGAGGAAGCACCGAGGCTGAAGGCCCTCCAACACGAGCTGCTCAGAGCAGCTGCAGCGTGCGAGGGAGGAGAGCACCCGAAGGGATGATGGCTGCGGCTGGCGCTGCACCGCGTCCCCTCTGCGCTGCCGGTTGCTGCCTGCAAGAGCGCAGGCAGGGGGGAGGGAAGGAGGTGACATCACCCAGGTGCCTTCTCCATCCTTCCTCAGCAGGAGATCTTGGAGCCAGAGGCAGTTCCCTGCCTGCTTTCTCAGGGACGTAGCTCCAACTGTTTGGACCGCGTTACGCCAGAGATGAGCAGGGTCCCGCAGCCTCCCACCAGCAGCCCAGGGAGATGCAACAGCACCCGCAGCAGCAAATCCCTCTGCAGTTCACCGCTGCAGAGCCCCACCACAAAAGTTTTCTCCGCATCACTCAGAAACCAAAGCCCACAAGTGCCATTTAACTGGGCATTTCTCTGCACAGTCAAAAAAAAAAACCCAACAAAAAAAACCAAAAAACCCCAACCAACTCAAACCAGGCTACTCAAAGCCCGGCTCACATGACTCAGTTTAGGCAGGTCAGGCCATGAGATAAGTCACAGCCCTGAAGCACCTCTCAGCTCCTCCACCATCTGGACCAAACCCCTCTGGACACAGAGACATCTACACACACCCCCTTTTCCAAAGGTTTGAGGAAGATAAAAGCTGTCCCACCCTCACAGCTGTAACACCCCCATCCCTCCTGGGTCTGAGGTACCGGCAAAGCCCAAGTCATGTGTCCTCCTCCAGCAAGGAGCCCTTTACCCAAGCCGAGCTTTGTCCTTTGTTCTGGCCGCCAGTATTTGTGTGTGACTCTAAGCCACAATAAAGCAGGCCTATACACAAAGCAATCCGGCTTCTCTTGCTGCGCGGCCAGGTTAGCTTGGTGGCTCCACAGGAACGCACCAAACTCAGGGCCCGGTGACTTCATTACAGCTATTACTGCATTATCAAAGTTTGACTTTTCGTCATCTTTTTTAAGAAAAAAGAAAAAAAAAAAAAAAAAAAAAGCATCAGGCACTACTCCCCACACTTGCTCCTTTCCAGGAAAGCCAAACCATTAGCACGGGTTAGATAACTGGCAAAATAAATCCACCTTGAGACAAGCTGCAGCACTCGCCTCTACAGCTTGCATTCACAGAAAGTGCAAGGTTCCTCCCAAAGGGAGCTGCACTGATTTTTTTTTTTTTGCTTTTTTTTGTTTTTCTTACTCTTACAGACCAATCCATAAACCAGAGTCTTGCACAAGACCTCAGCTGCTGCTGCAAACACCCTGCGCTACCGAAATTCCTTGCCCTCATCCGCGCCCTCAACTTTGCAGCCTGGAGGAAGACACAAGAAAAAACGCAACTTTTGCTGTATCACGCCTGCAGCGCGACCCCACGAGTGCGATATACGGACGACAGATATATCGCACGCCAGGCAGATGCCAGGCAGCTTTTATCCTGCGCCATCTCCAAGCCACGGTCCGGATGCCAGACCCGAGCACGGCCGTGCATCACGGGATATTCCCAGAAGCACTTCGGTGGGTGCCAAACCGACCTCCTTAGCGTCAGCTGACGAGCAGGGCTGGGGTTTGGGTTTGGGTTGGGTTTTTTTTTTTTTCCCCATCTTCATGATGAAAACAAGGTTTTCCCCTCTCCTCCCCTGCCACTTACAGGGAGGTTTGCTGGTTTTGAGACGCGCTGAGGGTTAACAGCATTTCCCCTGCAACAAACCTCACCCCT